TGATTTCTTATTAAAAAATGCATTTCTAAAGTGCATAAACTTTTGGGATTGACTGTATAGCCAATACATCCTTAAAATGGTAGAAGATAAGCAAGCGAATAATTGTCACGGGACATGATTTTCTGATCAACATAAAGAAATACGGCCACTGATTTTTGGCCGTCATTCTTTTTTTTCTTTCATGGTGACCACATGCATATCTAGCAGCCACGTTATATCTCGGTACCTCGCATTTTTCTATTTCAGATTACCGGATACATTAGCACTACCGCCGCCACCGAGGATCCACCCTCACGACGGGTTGCTGCCCCATCCACATGTGCAGCATCAGTTACCGGATGGAATGTCGAGGATAGGATCGGATGGTTCGCGGATGTCCGATGGCGGAATATCGCGGTTGTCGGACAGCCTATCGGAAGCGCACAGCCCACCATTGATGGCTACGAACCTGTCGGTGACGGGTCCACTGAGGGTCGCGGTCCCGAGTCCGCACACGCCCTCCTCGCGGGGCAGTCCGTCGGCTAGTCAACAGACTCCTCAGGGTCAGTCTCAGGAACAGCAGGGATTGATAAGGGTCGCGACGCCACCAGCGCCGAATCCGAAACCACCCCAGATCCACCGACCCTTCTCGCCGGCGTGATACGATGTGCCCGACGAAACGGAAGAGATTGTATTAGTAGAAACGGAGGACGACGATCGGTCTGCACTGTCGAGGAAAATCGTCAACGAGCAAAGACAGCGATTCCTCGAGAAGCGCTTCGAGATATTATGAGACGAACGAGGAGCGCGGATTAAAAATATAATCGACGGTTTCAGAAGAAATCGGGACGAGCGTTATTGACGTGGATTCCTCGTGACACACAGGAATCGGAAACAGAGGCCAGAATATTTCTAGTTGAACGTCGCGTCGTTAGATAGATCGAGCGACCGGACGTGTGCAATTACGGAGGCGAGTGAAAACGATGCAAACGATCGTCGCATGTAAATAGCCGTGGTAATCGTCGAGGTACGACGATCTGTGCGTCCGGGACATAGTTTTCGTTGAACGAAAAACGAGCTTGCGATCGGAGACCGCTTCGAGGTCGGGTCGAGGTTGAAACGAACTCGGCATAACGGCGTTTCGTTCATCCCTTCCTTATCGTAGTCTGTACATAGCGGTGCTTTCAGCAAGGAAGGAGACAATGTTCTTCGATGTAACCGTCGCCCGAGAATCTTCCTTCGCCGTTTCGGACTCGCGCGATCGCTACTTTCGTCGAAGATAGTTAAACGTCTGTCGAACAAATCGAGAAATTCGAAGAACGCGCACGCGCGTGGTTTTCGCCCGGCATCGCGGCAAGTTGAAATCGCACAACGTCGTCGTTTGCCGTTGGCCTCGTAACGGTGTCTAATAAACGCGCAACGTCGATCGTAAGAGAAACTAATTTAAGATGACCCTTAGCTTTAAGTAGAAATCTGCGATTCAAAAATCTCCTCGAAGAATCCACGAGTGAGCTCCGAAAGGATTCTAGAGGATTCTCGTGGCTTCGGAACGAAAATTTCGTCGGAGGCGGTGTCGATCGCTCGACCGAAGGAAAGAAATCGTGAGAGCGCGTGGCTTCGCGCATTTTCCACTATCTCTATCTCTCTCTCTCTCTCTCTCTCTTTTCTCTATCGCTCTGTCTCTCCTTGTAGATACACGACCGCGTGCGCGAATCGCGCCAGCGGAATTTCTCATATTATATGGGACGTATCTTCGTAAATATGAACATACGCTACGATCCACATTATACATAGGTACCTTACGTAAAGACTATTAACACGGAAGATTATACATATATAAATATATGAGGAGAAGACGAAAACATTATTATTAATATTATTGTATTATTATTATTAATATTATTTGCGCCTGTACATATACATTCACGCGAAAATATATTAACAGATTATTATGACATTATGAGGAAATGTGGTCTGAGTCTTCAATTAACCACCGCCAGCCCCCCCACCTTCCAAACCCCTATGAGAATCGATCACAACGCTCGGCACCCCGGATTCCCAGAACCCGTGACCAGCGACGAGCTCGACACGTACACACGTACGCGGCTCTAAAATTCATTTCGCCGCGATCCAAAATTAACGAACGCGCGAGAATTACTCGGTTCGTTCCCGACAAGCGCTTTCCGCGTTGGTTACATAATAACTAGTCGACTGATTCTCTCGCGCGTCGATCGTATCTATTAACGTTAACGCGGTTAACACCGCGAGCCGACAGGCTAATTCGGGACCAACAAAGTTTTCGATCGTTGCGAACAATCGGGAATAACTCGAGTCGATGCAAGGAAGCGGGATTCAGGTGGCCTTCCCACGATTTAATCGGCCACCTTCTTTACTCGCGTCGCGGATACGCGAATTCGCAGAGTCACCCGGTTCCGTTAACGAACGCGAGTAAGAAGTCGCGTCCGAGACGCACGGGACCTTCGAGGAGCGATGGGTGCGCGTTCCGTCGCGAGAGGAAAGGTAGAGAGAAGCGATCGAAAAAAAGAGACGGGGAATCGAACGTAGAAAGGTTATCGACACGGGTACGGGACGGTGAAACGAAGCGAGATGGAATCCGAAGGGAGAACGAGAGATACCGCGGCGCGTGGGCGGGTGTCGCTGACAAACTGAACCAATCCGGTGGCTAGGACGGCCTGTAACCGATCCCGCGGGTTAACCAGGAACCAGGAAGGTCGACCAAGACTCTCCAAAAAGCCGGTGAGCCCAGAGCGCAAGCCTAACCGTCCTCGTCAGCGACTCCACCCTGACGCTTGCACGTGCGATCACTTTCTCCTACCCTCTTTCACTCTCTGTTACTCTCACCCTTCGACTCTCGCTCCGTGACGAGTATGAACGAAGTACAAATATATGGCCATCGATCGGAACCGGATTTGGCCATATATCCGGAGAAGATTTCCTGAAATGGCTTGTTATTCGAGAGCACAGCATAGATACAGTATAAGAAAGAACAGTCGACTCAATCACGGTGTGATTAATCGATTACTCTTGAAGCATTGGAGATTGAAAAAAATTGTACATGACTTCTTGTAAGTAATAGCAGTACATACAACTTTTATTCAAAGTAATTTTCGCCATGTATCCGGAGAAGATTACTGTATCTAGGACGTACGTTGAGACTCTGGCAAGAGATCTCTCATAGAAACGGAGGATCTCGACCCTAACGACGAACACGGACTCGTCTCGAGGCGAGTACGCAGGATATTTACCGAGCGTTAAACGATGACGAGTTATTAATTCCCGGTTTCTGCTCGTGTCTTTAAGAACGACCGTCCGGCCTTCTCGATAAGCATCGCCTGCGATCCGGCGAGCGACCGGAAGGCGAGTAAACCGTTGCGCAACGAACGCAGCACCGTGAACAATATTCTCCTCGTTGCGACGTCGCGTCACCGCGAAAGAATCGCGCATCGGGGAAACGTGAGGGGCGAACGTTCGCGATCATCGATACGCATCGGTTCCGTGTACCGTTTTCGAGGTACATACGTCGATACGTCCCCGATATGGCGTGAAAAGGACCGTGAACGTCTACCCTCGTTCGTACCGTCCCTCCTTTCTCACCCCGTCGTGCACTGGATAGCACGCTCGTCTCGTCGGTCGTGTTTTGACAGTTGCCGCTCTGACACCTCTGCCACGTTCATTAGAAAGTGGTTCTCAAACTCAGGTAACTAGGGTGCGTACAAATTCCCTTTCAGAGCCGAACAGATCGTTTTCAATAATCGTCATTCAAGGAACAATTAAAGATTTCATATAAAAATATATCAAAAACATTTTTTCGACGGCGAAGAATTTACTCCGGTTTCTTATCATGGTATCGGAACGCCGATGGTTCCTCGTCAGTAACCAAAGGTTTCACGTAAAAATGTTTTGCTATCGTCGTCGAACGATCGCGAGATCCTAAATAGGTTTCGTCTTCGTTCGAATAAATAAGCTGATAAACGCTGGGTCGTGGAGCTCCGGTTGAGAAACTCTGATAGACATCCAGCTGTCCGGATTTAGATGTTAGGATAATACGGTGCGGTCGGGGCCTTACAACAAAATAATGTAGTCCACTCTGAATGGCGGAGACCCGGAACGAGCACGCGGGCAAGGCGGGGGGAAAACCGTGGCGTCGACAGACGGAAGAAGAGGAACGAGGATGGACGGTGGCGGATCGGTGAAGAGTATCGACGCGGTAACCATTTCTCTAGTGGTTATTTGTAGACAGATTCGACACCGTGACAATGCCGCGAAAATCATAATGGGGGCCCGCCGCAGAGGGTCCCGACTATGGGAGGCCTTAGTGAGATTACGATGCCCACCAGGTATTTGTCGTGGGTCTTAGCTCGACACTGGGGTGCCATGGAGAGGCGTGAAAGCGATGGTAAATCTTCACAGAATCTTTTTAAAATCTCTGCTCGCCATTGTAGCCGTAAGAAGTTTTTCGGGCTCTGCGTTTTCGCACCCCCTCCGTTCTACCGGTCTGACTCGCTTGCTCGCTCGTGCACGTTCCATATTTTCGATCCGGTCTTCCGGCCGCGTCGACGAGATCACAGACTCTTGGGTGCTCAAGGGTGCGAGAATAGAAAAGGGAAAAGTCGAGAGAAACCGGTGTCGTATCGCACGGTGCGACCGTAATGAGTACTAAGAAAATACTTGGGCCTCGAATTATCGTTCGTTATCGTACGACGCGTTACTCGGGCATTTATTACGTTCGACATGGGTTATTTCGCTTAGTTACGCTCGCTTTGTTCTCACCCTAAGGAATCGACGATCAAAAATTTTCCTTGCTCCTTCTTCGCGAGCTGGAACGCGTCTCTCATAACGCGTCGCAACCCGTAATAAACTACCCCATTGCGAATTACGAATTCGAAAATCGACGCGTCGGCTTTCACCGCGGGTCTCCTATTCAAGTTCGCACGGGGTTAATGAGAGGTTAGATATAACTCGTCGTTCTGGGTCACAACGCGACACCGGCGTCCGTTTAATTTAAGTATATCCCGTGCATTGGATTTCAATGGGGGTGTGTTACGCGTCACCCCTGTGCTACCCGGACCCCGCGCAACCGACGCCATGGGAAAAACAAAATATTTGGCTAACCGGAGTATAACTGGCTGAAAACGTTTTCGTTCCTCCATGGATTATCGCGACAAACACCGTCGAATCGAAACTTCATGAATTTTAATCTAGAAGAACGTCAAGAACGCGGTTTTATAGCAAATATTTTGCAAGTACCACTAGGTGCGAACCAGAGAATTTCTCGAATCGGACAAGAAGCACGGATATCCGGGTACGAGCTGTCGCCTAGCTGATCCGGATAGGTACCTATACCTATACGAATGTGTCAGGCGTCACTGCCCTTGCGAGGTACTAAGCCGCTTACCACTATGGGGTTTACGATGTATTATGTTCGATGGGGTATCTCCTAACTCTGTGGAACGTATACGGGAATCCGTACCCCACCTACCCTGCGTTATCTTATCCTGTGCACAGACGCACGGCTCGACGTTTTTCGTATTCTCGCGTATGAACCATCTCTAAACACAGAATTGAAAAAATTTGTTGATTCGACAATCGATTTTCACGGAAAACAGCCCCATTCTCCTTCACCTTTTTTTTCACTCCCCTTTCAGCAACAGGGCCTTTTCGAGCAAGTTTTCGACCGGGGGTATTACGCAAAACTGTATCGGCTTTTCCGTGTTTTGATTTCGCCGGCAAAAGCGACGGGACGAGAACGGAGGGTAAGAGGAGCACAGATACTTAGCCGAGGACTAACAGCGGCAGGCTGCGGATTAAAGGGGGCGAAATGTTATTATTGCAAGGGGTACGTCTGCGGCCGTGAGTACTAAGTAGCCCGGTTAAGTATGTTGTTTAAGCCAACACTGTAAGTAGTAACCATCCCCCGGAGAAATTGCCGTGACGGCATCGCGTCGCGGGCAAAGTCGAAACTCCGCTACGTGAAACGCTTCGGCATAGGGAAGTGCACCCGTCCAGATGGTTCTCTCGATACATACTCCGTTTTTAGAGAACCGTCGCGTCCCGTAAAATTGACACCGTGTCGCGATGCGCGACGACTGGAAGGGTCCAAGTATCGGGAAACTTCCGCGTCTTTCGATACTTTTTACAAGAAGAACGGACACCGTCTTCTAGACACAGTAGAATCGACCCGACGGTTTCGATCGCGGAAGCGTGCAAACGGTTTCCCGATGGAAGGAAGAAATCGCGAGATCGACTTCGACCGAGGGAGAATATCCGACGCGTCGTCAGTTAAACCGCGTTGAACGAATAATCTCACCGGGCAAATTGTAACGTCTAAGACGAGAAGCTTTTGTACGACGGGAAATGCGCTTCCTTGGACCAAGATTAAAATACGCTATTGCCGCTATTAGGGGGCGAGTTTGAACCTTTGCCTCGAGATAGGAACGGTAACAGACGTATAATTTCCTGGAAGCTTTGAATCGAACGACTCTCGCTCTCGGTCCGCGGTGCGGTGTCGGCTCGAGCGCGACGAGTGTAACCGGCTTTCGAAGCTACGAGGGTGAGGAAGCTCATTAACGAGAGCTTTCTGTTCCTTCGGCTCGCGGCCCGTTACTTCGACGCAGCACCCGATACCCTTAACGGAGCTGCTGCTCCTGCTTCCGAGACCAGTTCTCCCCTTCCCACCGCCTCGCCTCGTATCCGACCGAACTCCTTATTTACATAAATACGAGAGCTTTAATAGCCGTGAATCGCGGTAAATTTACCTTCGCCACGGTAACGTATGCGATTCCATCAGCGTATTAAACGAGGAGTGTTCAAACTGATGTTGGAAGCGTTCGACTTTTCGTAAGTACTTGAAAAAAAGTAGGTCTTTTCCGGTACGTAAGTTCGAACGTGCGTTACTTCTATCGATTCCTTCGAATTGGACGGGGATCTCGCGGTAATA